CCATAACCAGACCCACCTGCACTGCTACCATTTTAATAACTCTGTTACATGATCTTTCCTTTGTCTTGTAAAGAAATAACTCACATACCTATGCCTTATAAATTTTTCCCTGCCCTCAACCCACTCCAGCTCTTCACTGCCCATGGGTCCTGTCCCCATGCTATTCTCTGAATAAAGGAGCACTACCACCAGACTTTGAGAGTCTAAGAAATCTTTCTTTCTACTCCTTGGCTTGCCCAGCCTGCATCACTACCCTTATATTATATAAGCAATTAAATGGTTGAAGTTTCAACAGGAACTCTGAACATTCTAAATATCCTTCCCTATTACGCAGCAGCAATTTCTAGAAAAGAATGACCTTATCCCTTGCTCCTGAAATAGCAGGGAGAGGGGATCTTTCTCTTCTCTAGGCCTCCTTGTCCCAGTGCAGTGGCAGTAAGAGAGAATTTTCCCCACATTCAGGGAAGGCCAAGAAGGATGCTAATTGTGCCAACTGCTTATATGTAAGAAATGCTAAATAGTAAGATTTTTATATCCCTGAGTCTTCTGACGCATCTATGAAACAACTAGAGAAAAGAAAGTTTATAGGAACTCATACAACAAACCTAATTTCTGAGCACCTATCATGTATTAGATACTGTGCTAGTCCTGGAAAAAGATGGGCATGGGCCCTGCTGTCTTAGAGCATATGATCTCATGGGGCTACAGAGAACTGAAGAGCCATTAAATACTGTGTGTTAAGTGCTTAAAAAGGATGTACAAGGTAATTTGGGTGCCAGCAAGGATGAAATCCCTACCTTATCCTCCAAAAAGAAGTGACAATTATCTAACCTCTAAAGGATAAATAGGGATTGGCTGTGAAGGGGATAGGAAAGGTGGAAAAAGGGAAGGGGTAAAGGAGAGGACACTACCATATGAAAAGGTCTAGTGGGAGGAGGAATTGTAGGTGAACTGAAGACAGTAAAGGACAATGGCAAGACATAAGGACAGAATAATAAACCTGGTATTTTGGGTTAAAAATCATTGACAAGTCTATAAAGTTGGAAAGGAGTATTAACCATGAGATTACAGCATAAATCAATTTTCACATTGAATATTAATGTCTCTATGCAGCTGGAGACAGAACAGAAACAGTGAGAATTATATTTTGGGAGCACAGCTTTGGTAGAAACTTTAATTGCAGTTGAACCAGAGTGGAAAATTAGAAAATGAATGATAAGAAAGGGACAACTGAAAGCAGAGAACAACATTTGGGTGTGAGTGCACGTCCAGTCAGGAGGGCACTGAACACAGTAGGTCGCCTCCAAACATTCACTGTGCCTCTTCCCCCTTCCTAAGAGACCCCTGATTATGTTTGGGTGTTCACCCTTTTCTAGATAATCCATTCAATTTAGAGGAATCTGACCCTTTTCTGGCTCCAGGTGTTAATCTGGTGTTTTGAGGAAAATCTCATAGCCTCTTGCCAGAAATTCATCCTGAGTGGAAATGTGACTTAAACTGGCTCAGTCAGCCTGAAGGGAGATTTCTGGTCCCTGCTTGATGGAGAGGCACAGGCTTTCTCCTGCTGGACTCAGGAGGAGTCTCAGACTCCCCTGTAACTGTGACTGCCTATGAGACATGACTATGACCAATAGGACAGGGGTCTGCTAGGAGGTTTCTAGAAGGCCATTTAGGGCTGATGTGGTGGCTCAACGATGTTGTGAAGCCCTGAAACACTTTCCAACCCTCCATTCCAGTTGCTGCTGGCAGCCACTGTGCAGTAAGCCAGCACAAGGACAAAGGTGAGCAAGGAGGAAGTGCAGAGCCAAGAACGTCTTCCCCCTGATTCTGTTAGCCCTGAAGCCTGCCCTCCTGTAGCTTCCTCTACATGAGTCGATGATCACATTCCTTATTGCTTAAGCCAGGCTCCAGTTGTATTTCTGTCACTTGAACTTGAAAGCATCCTAAAAGTAGGGATGCTAAAAGTAGAAAAATAAATTCACAAAGAGATCAAGAAAAAAAGATTAGGTGGTAGAGGAAAATCAGGAGAGCTCAGCATGATACCAGCTGAGAAGGATGGAATTTTACAAAGCAAAGAATCACTGACGGTACAAAATTTATCAGAGTAGATTTATCAAGCAAGATGTTTTTCCTGTACTGCTTCTGCTTTGGAATAGAGCCTCTTTAAATCAATCTGCATTCATTGTCACCACACTAAGGTTTTCTGATCTATGAAATATTCAAAGGCTAACTGATGACTTTACAAGTGGATTATGGTGATTAGAAAGGGTGCTTTTGCAATGAAATATAGGATAAACATGGTCAAGTAAGACTTATTTAATGTAAATACATTGAAACTTTTCTTTTCCCCCAGTAGGCCAAATTAATCAGTGAGGTCTTATAAGTCTTATAGACACGTTTTATCCAAGACGTTCTTTAATAAAAAAATTTGAAAAATTAACACATATACCTAAAGGTAGAGAGAAGAGTATTAAGAAACCTTCATATATCCATTGCCTAGATTCCAAAATGACCAATTTTGTTACTCTTGCTTTTCCCTTCTTGCCTAATGAGTGAAGGTAGCTATATTGCCTGGTGGTAAAAAGAGCCCACTGGATCTGCACTGTGTGACCTTCCCCCATCTGATGGGAGTGGACAGAGGGGGAGGTATTTGCTAGACTAGTATTGCCGCCTGCAATGTAGAGCAGCACAGTGGCTAAAGCTGAAGTCCTTTCCCAAGGTGGAAAAGTTAGGGTACAAATGAAGAAAAGGAGGAACAGTAGCTGAGGGTAAGGGAATGAATAAATAATGCAATGAGGGAAATCCAATATTACAGCAACACCTCAAAAGAGGCTCAGCGCAAGAGACGATATTGTCTAACTCAACAATACCAGCTGTCTGAAAGGGTGAAGCCATATGTTGCTAAGATCACTCCCACTTTTGGAACCTGACAAGATCTAATGGAGGCCTGCCAACCTCACTGGCCTCACCCTGGGAGACATTTTCATATGATAAGATGATAGACGGGACTAATTATTAATGACTGAATGTGACTCCAGTAACGTGGCAGGGTCTGTTAACTGTTATGATCCTTTTGTTTTAAGGGATCTGTGGTTAAAAACCAGGAGGTGGCCTGTGGTAACATAAGAAATATATTTGGTCTTTGTCAGTGGTTCCAGCACAAACTTCCTAAAATCCATGAAATTTCCTGAATAACGGGAGTGCCTTTTGTCATTCATAAGGAGCCCTTTTTGAGCACACCTGAATTTATGCTAATGAGGTGACTTAGCATGGGGCCCCTGGATAACACCAGGATGGGGCTGGTCACCAGAAAGACCAAGTGACCAGAGGGTTGGAACTTTTAGCCCCACCCACCGACCACTTGGAAACGGAAGTGAGTGCTACAGGTTAACCTCTATAAAAACTGTTGACAAGAAGATTTAATGAGCTTCTGGGTTGGTGAATGTGCCCACATGCCAGAAGGGTGGTGCACCCGAGTTCCATGAGGACAGAAGCTCCAGTGCTGGGGATCCTTCCGGAACTCGCCCTATGTGCCTCTTCATGTGGCTGCTCATCTGTATCCTTTGCAATATCCTTGAGAATAAACTGGTAAATGAAAGTAAATGTTCTGAGTTCTATGAGCTGCTCTAGCAAATTATTCGAACCCGAGGAAAGGGTCGTGGGAAGCTCTGATTCTGTAGTCAGCCAGTCAGAAGCACAGGTGACAATCTGGACCTGCTACTGGCATCTGAAGTTGGGGGCAGTCTTTGGGGCTGAGCCCTTAACCTATGGCATCTGAAGCTATCTCCAGGCAGTGTCAGAATTGAGTTAAATTTGTAGGACACTCAGTCAGTGTCCACTGAGAATTGCTTGGTGGTGTTAGAAAACACACATGGGAGATATAAAATCAGTTGTTTGAAAACCAGAATGTATTTCCTTACATGAGAATGTATATAAGCAGTTAGATTCTCAGGCCAGACATGTGAAGTCCAGCTAACCCAGACTGATGACATCTTTTACATTTTGAGTAGAAAAGAATATCACTGAAACTTAATCTACCTCCCGTTTTGTTCACATGTCTAAAAAGAAGGAGCTCACCAAAGCAATAGTGAATGTCTGACCAGCCTGTACCAAGATCATGAAGGAGACATTCTTATGGTTTGGATTTAATCTACTAATCTTAAAGCTTCCAAGTTTTTGTTTCTTTTTTAAGCCATTAAGTTGTTAGAATCACATAATTTCCTTATCCTACATATCTGACCCAACGTTTTCTAAAACTATATCAAATTCTTTTATAGGCTCAGGACCAGTGGTTCTCAAAGTGTGGTCCAGGGACACCTGGGGTTCCCTAGAGGGGGTCTGCATAATCAATACTATTCTCTTAATAATACAAGAATGTTACTTGCTCCTTTCATGCTCATTTTCTCACAGGCACACAGTGGAGTTTTCCAGAGGCTACATGACAAGTGATATCCCTGCTGTAATGGGTGTATGTGAAAAGTAGCAGTGAGAATGCCATCATTTATTAAGCCAGATATCAAAGAGTTTTGTAAAAATAGAAAACAATTACCATCTTCTCACTTCATTTTTTTGTTACGAAAATATAATTATTTTTAAAAAGTTATTTATATTAACATATAATGGAATTATTTTACTTTTAAAGAATTCATAAATAAATATTATATTTTCTTCAGTTTTAATTTCTAAGAGTTATATTGATAGACATAACCCCCCCCACACACACAAACTCTTCGGGGTGTCAGTAAGTTTACATAAGGGCATAATGGGGTCCTGAAGCCAACATGTTTGAGAACTGCTCTTCAAGACAAATTCCTTTCTTCACCATCTCAACAACTTTGGCCAGTGAGAATAAAAGACTCTTTTTGCAATATTTTTTGGAAATTTCACTGGAAATAAAATCTGTGTCCTCCCTGGCATTCCTTTCCATGAGAAGCATTCTCTGGTTTTGAGAAGGAAACAGATAACGATTAGGGGACAATGAAGTCTAGGTTGACACTCACCTTCACTAACTCAGTGTAGCCTGTCTCCTTTGGGGTCCACCACGGCTGGGCCTTCAGTCCGTTCACGTTGTACAGGGAGCGCTGCCAAACAGACGCAAAATGTCCCCTCTGGTGCCCAAGCTCGTACCACTTATACGCCTGAAAGAATTCAGAAAGATTGAACTCCCAATGAAACTTTTATTAATTTTAAAATTAAAGTCACTAAAAATAAGGTATTACTTAGTGACATTTAAATAAAGACCTTGCTAGACAGGTGATCAAATCTGTTACACTGTGAAAATACTGTTGACTGGGTATCTGATTATGATCTATTATTATAAATAAATGTATGTATTTTATTTTCACTCTTAGGCTGTAAGGTCTCTGAATACAAGATTCACGCTGCGCTCATGTTGGTCTCCCCCCGAGTGTCCAGCACAGAGTCTAGGACTTATTTGTTGAGTGGATAAATAATTTAAGACACTAATGTAGACTATATTTATATTTTAGGTTTCATTTCTTAAGTTCTATTTTTATGTTTCCTTTAAAAGGAAAGGATTCTGATTCTAATAATTTCTTCAAAGATATTTGCATTTACTGAAGTGGAATGCTAAAATGGAGAGCAACATCATTTCACAGGTACATTCTTTCCATGCCCACATTTAAGAAGGCTACCTCAAAGTGCCAGAGTGTAAACCCTCCATTAAATTAAGTAGACAGAAAGGAAATATTATTCTGAGCTGGCAATAAATATAGTGATAAACAATATTAGATTTTTTAAAAGGGAATTTTTGTTCCCTTTTGTTTTTCTCCTGCCATAAGGGATAACATTTGTGGCTTTAGGCTGGCTGTAACATGATACAACTTGCCTCCAAGAAGACTAGCCTTTTCAGAGACAGCTGGCTGCAGAGTCTGCTGCTCCATATGTCTCCTTCAAATGATGCCCTAACCATATGCTCTCCTAGTGGCCTGTCCCACGTGCTTCGTGCCCCGCGCACGCTCCACTGTCTTTAGAATGGGAGCCGAGTCTAGCGGTGGACTTGACAGTATGCGCCTATTATTATAACTCTGATCTAATGATTACTTAGTGATTTTGAACACACATTTTGATCAATTAAACACAGGCAGTTAATATCAAGCGGATTAAGAAGATATCCAAGAAGAAAATCTTCATAAAACTCTAGATATAACTGAAATGTAAAAAATAACTTTCAAAAGTCTTTTAAAATTCCTATGTCAAAATTTCCTTCATTAGAAAATCGAGGGTGACAGCAGCACCACCTCATACTCTCAGCAACACTTCCAGTTTCCCGCTCACTTTTACATGTGTAATCTCATTTCATCTTTCCAAGAACCCCAAATATCTCCACTCAGAAAACGCTGAAACTGAGGTTTAAAAAGGCTAAATATGTTGAACTGTAACTCAGGCTCCAGGCAACTTGGTCTACTCTCCTTTCATCTTTGTAGCATTAAAAAAAAATTTACCAAAAGTGATCTTCTTATTTATCCTTCTCAATAATATCTCAAATTAAGAACACATATGCTAATTACTGTTATATGGTTTTCTTGAAATATTTGTAAGTAGTAGCCATAACGTAGTTTCTTTAAAAACCAGAAACTTCAAATGGCTAATAATTGTCTGATTTTAAACACATAGCATTCTACCTTTGAAATTAATTTGACTTTTAGGTATTTTTGTCCAATTTACATTTAGGATTTTATTTCCTATACTTTTCAGTACTAAAGTGAACAACAATATTAATTACAACAGATGATTTTTTGAAACTCTTGCAGTCCATTAATTTTCGAATCATCAGCAATTCATTTTAAGGACTAGGCATATTGTTAGAATAGTGAGGAAAAAAATTATTACTATAAGAAAATCAAAACAGCAAACCTCATAGCTCTAGTTCAGGACTTAGAAGTCTTAGATTTTAGTCCTGGCCTTAACGCTCACCACGCTGGATGCCTGGGCAAGTGACTTTGCTTACAATGGTGTGTTCAAATAATCTATAAGATTTTTTCTGACACTCAAAGTTAGTATTAGTCTATCAAACAGGACCCTTGATTTTATACTCCTCTGCCATTTGACTTTTAGGGAAACAAAACTGTGACAATGATATATCAGGAATTTTAAAAAAATCATCTTCAATGATATCTTCAATTATATAGAGGACGCAACGAATTCAGCCAGATTGCCTTTTTTAATTTTACATCTAAACTACCTGACAATAAAAATTGCTAGAAAAATCAATGATCAAGTTAGAATCATCCAAAAATTTCCTCTTTACTCTTACCTTTGTATATTTCTAATCAGGAATACTAAAATAGACAGAAAGGACACCTGGGGCACCTTCTTAAATATATTTTATATCAATGTCTACTATATTTCACATTATTGCCAGGATAGTTCACACACACTTACATTCATTACACAGAAATAGTGTGCCAAAAGATTCCAACTCAGAAAGCCAGGCCCCAGCCTGGGAACACGCCCACCACACACGGCCCCAGCTGGAGTCTGTTCCGGCTGGAATGCAGCACACAGTGGTGCATGGGAGACGCGCTTGTGAGAAGGGTTGGCTGCAAATGACCTGCGGAGGATCGTGAATGCCACTGCTTGGAAATGGCCTTTATTTTATTCTGCACTGAGGGGTTTTTGAGCATAGGATGGCCTGGAAGAAAGTAAGACTAAAGCAAGAAGCAACAATAAGGTTCTTACAGCCATTGCTGAAGTGGAAGATAACAAATGACAACACTGACCAAGCAAGAGGGAAGATGAGATGGATACCAAAGACAGGAGGAAGCTGACGTCCCAGAATGTGGCCTGACTAGACTGGAGTGAGGAGTGGGGCCTGCTGAAGGACAGGCAAGAGCCAAAGCTGATTCAAGTCCTCATCTTGGAAAGTTGGCAACACCATCAAATGAGAGACAGAAGCCAGGAAGAAAAATGGTTTAGAGGAAGACATATGAGTTGTCTCTGTGACATCATGTGGTGACACTAAGCAGGCAGTAGACATATGAATCTGATCTTTGAGTAGGAGACGTAAGCTAGAATGTGGATTTGCGAGTTACAGAAATACTGGGACCAGCTGAGGCTGAATTGCTGCAGGACTACGCTGGTTTGTCTTCCTTTCTCTTCCTGTCCATACAAAACAAACCTGTTGGAAAAATCTTCCTCAAAAACAATTTTCCCATCAGCTTCAGTGCCTGGAGCAGAGCTTCATGCATAAGAACATGAAGGATGCTTGCTTCCCAATATGCAAACTGAGAGCATGAGAGTCATCAAATCACACATTGAACACCTAACATTGGGAATATACTAACATGGGGTTTCGACAAGCTTGTTTTTGTACTCCTATAACGATGAATCCTTGTGAAATTTTAAAATTCAAGAACTGCACTGTTCTTTGTATATTAAAGGTAATTAAGCTGATAGTACAGTCCCACAGGTTCAAATCCCAAGTTCTTAACAAATGTTTAATAGTGCATTCTTTGCCCTTGAAGTAAGGGCTGTTTTCATCTAAGATGTGAGAATAAATCAGACTGCTTTTATCTCTCTTCGCCCCAGACCCTGAGATGTTCAAAGATAAATTAATTAGTGACAATTACATTTATAGCAATCAGATATGAACATTTATCCAGTGTTAGATACTGTAGCAAAATCTTTCTTATCCCTCTCATTCAAAAGAGATACCGACATTTACATCTAAAAGAATGAAGGAACACAAAAGAGATCCTGATCAGCACTTTTTTCTCCCTTCTTTCTCTTCACCCCTCATATTTCATTCTATTTCAGTTGACTTACTGGTAGGTTAGAGGGGGAAAGGTAGGGACATAGAGAAACATACAAAGAAAACAGTGTCGATCATCCAAATCTCTATTACTCCAAATTGGCTTATGTCTTTAGCTGGCAATTACCCCGTCACAAAACCCCTTGCTCCGATGAATCCTCAATTGTCCAAATGGTCCCATGTTCTTATTAATTTTAGAAACCTGAAGCTGTGTTATCCTTAGAGGTCACTTTATTACATTTACGGAAGGCAGTGCTTACAAAGATTCAATGTCTCACTTCATCCTTTTATCCCTGACTCCAAGGAGAGCCCAGCACAGAGCCCTGAGATGTGTAGGACAGGAAAGGCAGGCTTCGCTGCCCAGCAACGTCATGTAAATCATGGTGGATTAGGAGGGTTGGGGAATTTACGGTATATGATGTCATGATTAATGATCTAATGTTACGTTTAAAGAAGCTGACATTGTACTCAGAAAAAAGTAATAATCACAAAGAAAACATGTATCTTATTTTAGCTACTACATTTTCTGTGCCAGTACCTGTCATTACTATAGCTACACGTGTTTATCTTAAACTTGGTATTAAATATTTCAGAAGGTAATTTATGCAATTAGCCATTGGATTCAGTGTGCTTAGGAACCAGGTGAATAAAGACTTCATTCTAAATATAACTACTTTTTAAATTCCAAAATAAAATAAAAATAACTCTAGGCAAACTGTTAAAAAAAATATTTAAACAATTTCAGAGATGTCTTTTCATTTCATAATTTTAAAAATATTTTTCCAAGGCAATGTTTCTCTCTCTCTCTGTACACAGAGACATGCGTACATACATCCACACACACAGACACATACATACATATATATACACAGACTAATTTAGAGACAGTTCCTATGAATATTCAGGTACTTTCTTGAAAGAAGCCATAAAAGTCAAATCCTAAAAATTCTTTATAGGATTAAGTAGGAGTTGTTGGATTGTTTCAAAAAACAATTTAAGCAGCTAAACAGTTTCAGTTCCCACCTTCAAAAGTTTATGCTCAAAAAAATTTTTCAAATGTAAATTTCTCCTAGAATTAAATCCCCCCCATTTTATCCTCTGTTAAAGAGCACAAAAGTCCACAAACTCATTACCTCTTTGTTCCCAACCCTCTGCATGGCATCCCCCAGGTGGAAATAAAATCGCCCATCATCAGTGCCAGGATCCCCAGATTCTATTCCTTCCTGTAGAAAAGACAGTGTTAGCATTTATGAAAGAATTAAATAGCAGATTTAGTTCATGGGTTTATTTAATCTTTATATACCATACGAAAATCCAAGAACCAGAAAAATTAATCTCAATATTAAAGTTCGACAATTAGGTTACTGGTCAACATTTACAATGCAAAACCAAAAGGAGGTGAAGAAGCTAAATTTAACAATATATTCATCATTAATTAACATTAATTAACAGCCCATAAAATTGGTGGGATGCTTTGTGAATTGTATCTGCAGGAGCAATCATATTTCAATATCCCAAAGAATTTCTTTGTCTGCGTCTCTATCATATTCCTTTTGCTCTCCAAATCTGACCATATGTCATCAAGAGGCGTTTTTATCCCTGAACCACAATGTTCAGTTGCTCACAGATGTTTGAAGTGATAGAGACCCAACTGCAAGAAATATTTTTTCCCACTCAAAACAAGTGTCCCCAACATTTTAATAAAATCTTTTACAAAATGTACAATAGGATTAAAGCCAAACGGAATCTTTCAAAATGTAACTGGTATTTAAAAAATCCTACTCTAAAACACTTAGCTGATTTCTACCCCATCTTCCACATAAAGACTGAAATGGAGATTTATGTAAAAAAAAAAATAGAGAAAATATGAAAGAGAATGAGTTTAGAAAAGTAAAAGGACAAAGGTAAAAAATATTTAAACGTCAAGGAATTCTTTCTAAAAATCTGAATCCTTGAGGCCTCTTCATAAGAAGCCCATTACCGTTTACTGGGAAGCAATATTATTTGCATAATGTTGGGAAGTATGAAAGGTGAGGAACAGGAGAAGCATGGCTCAAGGAGGACAGGTTCCATCAGGCCTCCTTAGGGATACTCTTTGGCCCTCATAATGTCAAAGGAATCTAAGGCGAATACTTTAAATCAGAGGAACCCACATGCCCTCAGCGTCCTGGCGGGGAATGTAAAGGACAACAGAGGCCCACTGACAGCCAAGACAGAAGGGGGTGCACGCCCACCTCACGGGGACACCCCTGCTGGTCTTCTGTGCTGGGATGTGGGCCAGATATGACCTTTCGCGTGAAACAGGAAATCTGTATGATGACCTAAAATGTTCATATCCTCAACTAAGGCAAGCAATTAAAATTGCTTTTAATAGAATTATCTTGGCTAAATAAAACATGCAAGCTATTTGTAATCAGTGGGTTGCTATTTGGGATCTCTGATTTAAGTCATGTGAAAGAAAGAGATCATAAAAGCATAATATACTGCTACTTAAAAAAAATGTTCACAGGTATTCAATCAGCTACTCATCTAATAAGGTAGCTGCTAGCTAATGTTACTATTTAAATTAAAATCAACTAAAATGAAAAATTCAGCTCCTCACTCACACTAGCCACATTTCAGGTACTCAATAGCCACAGGTGGCTAGTGGCTACCACACTGGAGAGTACAAATAAAGAACATTTCCACTGTTGCAGAAGGTTCTGTCGGACAGCCCTGACCAAGACCAAAAGTGATGCTGGTGAACTGACAATGATTCAACTAGATACGTGAGAAAAAAAGGGCAGCATACTTTAATCTGAATATTTTGAGCTATCAGGCTTTTGGGGGTTTCACTTATTCAGTCTGCAATTTTCACCTCACTTTGTAGAGGGTGCCATGAGCCCTGTTCAAACGAGTCTCAGCATATAATTAAATTGTAGAAGGAACATTTAATGCATTGCCATATTTTAAAATACCATATCAATAATTTTTCTCTACTTCTGACATTTAAATAAAGGCCAGTAACAACTGCGGTTTTAGGAATTTCTTCATATAGTCTTTTCCAAATAGTATCTACTCACAAAGTCGGTATTTCTATATCTGACACTGTCAATTATGGATACGGTCCACACTGCTGAGAATGTCATGGTCAGAGGGTGTACATTTTGGTGATGAAAAGATTCAGCAGTTCATGCCAATCAATCTACAGTGTACCATCAAGGGTGTCCAACTGACTCAAAGGAATGGGAAGAAGGAAAAAGGATGAGCAGGGACAGTTACCTTTAAATAGGGAATGCTCTCAGCGATCCTGTTCTGTGCCTTCAGGATAAAGCCGTAATGTACTTTAGCAAAGCCATCATTAGGGGTCACATTCAGAACCTAAACTCAAAGGAAACAAAAAGCTATTGTGATGGACTACAAATTCCATAAATGACTGTCACAGCAAATGTTAATTAGCCCCGCTGTCCTTGGACTGGATTACGACGTCACAGCTTACAACACTATGGTGTTTTATTTCACTGCAATAGATTAGGCTTAAAATAATGGCCCCATTTTCCCTCAACTCGAAATGTTCTCACATCTACACATTAGCTCCTCAAGAATGAAGAACTAAATGTAAAGGCAATGACTGCTAAAGCATTGCTTGAACACTGCAAATCAGCTAAATATCTGTCAATTGATAGGACTTCACCATTTTTTTAGTGATCAGGAAAAAACTGCTTTATATTTGCTACACTTGAAGTCAACTCTGAATGCTTATAATACATTTCTTTATATACGTACTTTATACGTTGCCTTAATTAAGAGAAAATTTAGGGCCAGCTCTGATGGCCACGCAGTGAAGGTTTGGTGTACTGTGCTTTGGCGGTCCGGGTTCAGTTCCCGGGCATGAAAGCACACCACTCGTCTGTCAGTAGCCATGCTGTGGTGGTGGCTCACATAGAAGGACTTACAACCAGAATATACAACTGTGCACTGGGGCTTTGGGGAGAAGACAAAAGAGAGCGGAAGACTGGCAACAGATGTGAGCTCAGAGCAAATCTTTCCCAGCCAAAAAAACCTTAGATTTGCATTTGTAATACATCACGAGCCATTCATTCAACATAAATTTCCCAAATGCCCAGACCATTTTAAGGACTGAGGATAAAGTGGTGAGCAAGTCCAATAATCTGTGATAAAACCCAGGTAAATATTTAATATAAACCAATCATTGTTTACTATCATATGGATTTATTTTGATTAAAGATAAATTATGCAAAAAGCCTATAAATTAAATACAGCACTGAGAAATCCAAACAACAACATTCAACTTGTGAAGCTGCTTAAACTCGTTTACGGAACAAAAGTGAAAGATGAAGGTTAGCATTGGGTGCATGTAGAGAAAAGATGAATATCCTGTAACTGCTCTTCATCCCTGAGCCTGAGTAGGGAGCGAGTCAGAGCCACCATGGGTTCCTTACACAGAAGGATTAAGTGCGCCAGGAGGGGGCCCCCATGCCCTCTGTGAGCTCACAGCACACAGTGCCAGTACTTGAGTGTTTTCCGTCTTGTAGTTGCTCTTGCACCTCATCCATTAGCGAATCCAGCCAACACCACCTTCAAAATACATTCAGAATCGTACCCCTTGTGACTTCCCTCACCGCTGCCACCCTGGTCCCTGTCTGTCATCTCTCCCCCAGCTTCTTATAGGAGCCTTCTGACTACTGACCCTCTGCCTTCCAGCCCCTCTGTCCTGTAGCCCATTCCCCAGCTGGGGTCCTAAATGGACTCACTAAATCCTAGGTCAGACTTCAACCCTCCTCTGTCCAAAACCCAAATGGGTTCCATTTCACTAAAAGACTAAGTTCTAGAAACAGCCTCCATGGCCCCCCTTCAGTTGGGCCTCTCTACTTCTCTGGCCTCCTCTACTACTGGCCTCCTACCAGCCACTGTGAGGTACCCTGGACTCCCTGCTGCTGGTAGCAAGCCAAAGGCACCCCCGCCTCAGGACCTTTGCATGTGCAGTACTCCTTTGTCTCACTCTTCTCTCAGACATCCAAATGGCTCACTCCCTTCCTCGATGAAGCCCTTGCTTTATCAAGGCTACTATCTCAGCGAAGCCGATGCCCAACCACCCCCATCACTAGTCTTTATCCTGACTCCTTTTTCTTCATAGTACACATCACCATCTGACTTAATATTTTTTTATTTCTCCCAGTAAGACGCAAGCTCTACAGAGATTTTGTCCATTGCACTCGCTGCTGATCGCCAGTGCTTAGAACAGTGTTGGGTATGTGGCAGGTGGTCGAGAAATCTGCACTAACTGAACAGATGGATGCATGCCGGGTTTTCCTCCCTAACTAGATCTCTGAAAGCACGGACTCTGTTGCTTCTGCACCTTCCACGGCACCTGTTCCTGAGCTAGATGCTGAGCAAGAGCTCACTAAACACCTCTGGAATTGAACTGAATTAAGGCTGGTCATGTTTCTGGCAGCATAACTATGAACGGATTATTAAAACTAGTGCAGCTCCACAGATGACATTTTTGCCTACTGTAGACCCACAGCCATCATCTCAAGTAATTAGAAAATGTATTCACTTATGATATTTTAGAACACACAGAACTCTTCTAGGCTCTGGACATATAAATGAGATACCCTATCTATTCTCAGGAAGCTTTCACTCAAGGGAGGAAGAGAGACTCCCAAGCAGACAACGGTAACACAATGTGGCAAGTGTAACCACAGAGACAGACATGAGGCATGTACGGGGTACAGGGAGGGGCACTTGCTTAATCCGGGGTGGGTGTGGCAGGGGCAAGGTCTGAAAGGTGTTTAGGGATGAAGAGGAGTTCACCAGGGACAGGGAAGGTGGGGAATAGGCATTCAAGGCACAAGAGAACGTGAGTAAAAAGGAATACTGGGCCAGGAGCAGTAAAAGGGAATGAGATTGGATACGAGGGCAGGAGACAAATCACAAACGGTCCTGTTTAGTATCATGTGCAAGATAATCCTCCAGGGAGTGGAAAGAAATTACAAATCTTCTCCTCGTATCCGTCTTTGAAATATAATGTTTAGTATGTGACAGGCTCCAGGGCCCTCCTCTCATCTGCCTGGTGGACAGTCACACATCTCACTCACACCCATGCTAGGCAAGGGGAGGGTGGGCGATCAGGCACCCAGAGCAACCAACAGTGCTGCCCTCCCTGCTTGATTCTTATGATCACCTTCTGTGCTGGCTACAGCTCACGTGGATGCAGAAGAGGAGTGCGTGCATTACCTAGCTGTAATCAACAAACCCTCAGAAAATGACAACTGGCTTCATAAGATTTCTAAGAAACCCAGACTGAGATCAATACTAATAATATTACACAGATTCTTTCTCTCTTTGTTTACACCCACACCCACCCACCCACACACAGAGCAGAAAACAAAAAACTGGTACAGCTCACATTTTAGTTCAGCACAAGCTCTTTGCATGACATATTACCATGGTAAAAAAATCATATCATATAATCATAAATAGTATTGCACATTGATATTACTAAAACATTAATTTTTCAGTGAGAATGAACAGTTTTGGGGCAATTAAAAGAAATTTAAAAAGTATTTGAAATCTTTCATTTCATCCTAAAACTTATTTTGGGGTGTATACCTTTTATAACGTACATCACATATTAGTACACACACATATATACATAATACGTAAATATTTAAACATACTTATTGCAGATATTTGCTTGGACATGTTTTACTGGAAAGGTTTGCAAGCAGACATGTTTGAAGAACTTTCCTGTGGACAATGGGAACCACTGAAGATTTCGAGCCGAGCGTGAGATGGTCAGATTTGTGTTTGGTGTTGATGAAGGTTGGAAGAGAGAAGGCCTGTGCAGGATAAAGCTGTCCTAATCTAGAATAGAGATGATGAGTGCCTGGGTTACAAAGGGAGGGGACTTGAAAGATATTCAGAAGGTAAAATGAAGAGAAATCAGTGATTTGGTACCAGATTGTAAACTCCATGAGGGCACACTCAGTGTTTGTTTCATTAACTACCATTTCCCAAGGTAGCGTGTGTGGGTGTCAATAAACACGTGCTGAGTAAGTGAATGGATATAGGTGAGGAGTGAGGGGAGGGAAGAATCAGGAACGATGCTCAACTTTGGACCGTGGGTGGCCTGGGCAACTGGTGGTGTTGCTAACGTGAAGGGAACACAGGAGGGCCTTCCAAAGCTACAGATGTGAGTAATCTACATCAAACCACTTTAAAGTCAGTCTTTGTTGAAACTAAAAGCAGCAAAAACCCAGAAAGGGAACTATCAATGATTTTTATAAAATAAAAATCAACATGAAGAAAAATATAAAGTAACAATATCAGTTTTCTGAAAATGATCTTTGATTGAGACGTAAACATAACCAGGATAAACTCTGGTTACAGAAAGAGAACCCATTAGATACAGCTTATTAACTTAGCGGTGAGAAGGAGGGAGTAAAAGGCAAACCTCACATTTTCAATCTATCAATGCTTCTTTACAAAGAAGCCCACTCAGCTGTATAATATGGCTATATTTCATACTTTCTGTATTCTGTTATGCTTATTCAGATGAGATTATGATTTCAAATGTATAAATAACAGGACGTAAATTTTATTTTTCAAGATGAAGTAAAATGTTTCACACAGCCAAGATTTAGTATCAGGTTAAAAGGATGAATATATTCTTTTTATTTATTTATTTATTTATTTACTTATTTTGAGGAAGATTAGCCCTGAGTTAACTGCTGCCAATCCTCATCTTCTTTTTGCTGAGGAAGGCTGGTCCTGAACTAACACCCAGGCCCATCTTCCTCTACTTTATATGTGGGATGCCTACCACAGCATGGCACGCCAAGTGGTGCCATGTCCGCACCCAGGATCCGAACCAGTGAACCCCGGGCCGCCAGAAGCGGAACGTGCACACTCAACCGCTGAGCCACTGGGCTGGCCCCAGGATGAATATATTCAAGGAAGGTTTTGAAAAGGTGAAGAAGGGCAAAGTCAGAGTGGGTGAGAGCAACTAGCATGCTTTCAGATCCTGCCCTAACCTCAAACGAGCTTGGGACCCAGTCAACACTTGATCATTTTTTTTTTGGAAGGAAGGAATTCTATAATTCCATCTTTGTGGTTTCTGACAGTGACAGAATAATGAGCATGTCTGATATAGTTTGACAATTCATACATTCATATGATCCTGAATCACTAAGATACACGATGTTTCCCTTAACCAAACTTTGCAAGCCAGGGCACTCAGTGTAATGTTTTAGCCATTAGCAAATACAGTGCCCCACATGGACTTCTTTTATGACCTGGAACAGGTACTTTAGTACATGGCACACATTTCCAATATTGTAAGTTCAATCCACTCTGTATAAATATTTGAGATGCCATAAACAGCACAGGTCTTATTTCTGCTCTCTCAGAAAATATAAAAATTATGACAAGGATGAAAAGACAACTGCTCGAAAATTGAATGATTTTCAATCAAGTATCAAAAACAATAAAAGGAGGAAAGCACCACTTTGTGAGTGGACCAGTCCCTAGTCTGAGTAGGAAATCACTACACTTGACAGCATTTTTAAAACAGAAGGAATCATGCTGGATATTAGTGAGTAGTAGTATTTTGATGTAAAGTGTACCAGCTTGAAACCAGTGACCAAAAGGCCTAGATTAAAGAATAACAAGGAAATGTGTTCATCTTTCTTTTATAGAGGCATTAACTTTCTCCAGCTTCAAAGTTCATTTGGTATCCTGTTTATTTTATTCTGTACCAAATGAATTCCCTCAGGGCACAAAGGAGTCACAGTTTTCTGGATTTTATAGTTACTTGCGACTTAGAGGTCATTTACTAAAACATCCATTATAAGGTAGAAATCCTTTTGAAGGCATCCTTGCTAGAGGATTGAAGAGTTAATGCCCTCTGAAAGGTGAGTAATTTACTCCATATGCCCCAAAGATTATGTCCTGCAGTCTTTCCCTAGATCAGACTTTTACCTAAAAAAGGAAAAGATTGTGTTTTTACGTTCATGGAAAACGTGAGTTCCTCTTTCTATCATAAACAACACTTTTAGAAAGGCTGTTTGTGGACTGATAAAGAGTGAGCTTTAAAAATATCACAATTATAGGTTGAAGGTTTTGATGCACCATGTGTTGACTAAAATTTAAAATCTTCTGATCAAGGGGAAAAAAAGTGATGAAAACAAAATTTAGAAGATACCCACTATAATAATACTTACATTCTATTTGAGTTAACTTAAAGAGAGTGAGAGATTGGGTGTATTAAACGCAATTTATAACTAACATTAGAACTCGATGTTTAAAATAATTTGATGTAGGGGCCAGCCCAGTGGTGCAGTGGTTAAGTTCCCACATTCCGCTTCAGCAGCTTGGGTTTGCTGGTTCGGATCCCAGGTGTGGACGTGGCACTCCTTGGCAAGCCATGCTGTGGCAGGCGTCCCACATATAAAGTAGAGGAAGATGGGCACGGATGTTAACTCAGGGCCAGTCTTCCTCAGCAAAAAGAGGACTGGTGGCAGATGTTAGCTCAGGGCTAAATCTTCCTCAAAAAAAAAATAATTTGACGTAGCTCATAGAAGACTGTTGCTTGCTTACCTCTTCATAAACCTTCTTGGCATTGTCATTATCTCCGATCAAGAGGTATCCCACTCCAAGGTCATTCTTTAAGGAAGTATCATCCGGAAATAGTTGAACTAGTTTCTGCAGGGTAAGCAGGGAACCTCGCATGTGACCTGATTTGGTGGTAAGAAAAAAAAACTTCAATGAAAATAACAACAGAGTATGTACATCTTTATATCGAGACTACACATCATGAGAGACTATTCAAACAGAGCCTGAAGACCAGCTGAAATCTGACTCTCTATTCTGATAGCTAAGTACCGATTAGGATTTATTTCTGCAGTTACAACAGCATCAGTAACTCCTGTAAGTAGATACTGAATATAATACTGGTTATAAACATTTTAAAGACATTCTCATTTTCCAAATTCATCAACATTTACCTTCTTATGTCAAATTCCCTCTTAAGAAAGTTTTAGCTACAAATTCCTTGTAAAAAAACATTTTGCTGAGATATTTTTGGTTTATTATAATTAACTTTAAAATTATGAATAGAGAACAGACAAACAAAAAGTCTAATAGACTTCAGGGTGTAGCACCCCGTATGAAACTTGACGGGGCACTGAGGTACACTGCTGACACCGTTTCCAATTAAGTGTCCTCGTCTCTAGGTAATGACCTAATCATGGAGCAAAGGAGACATCATCCAGTGTTATGGGACCCTCTGGTGGACAACAGGATACTATGCACAACATGAATCTTGAAAACGTCAGCTTCAATTCATTTTTAAGGCTGTCTGATGGAAATTTACAATTTCTGGAGCCAATTGTCATTAGTCCTTGTCAGAGCTGGAAACACAAATTGAATAAGGGAAAACGTGCAACCTAAGACTAGTATACATGACAAAATTAATTACCTAAAGGGCTCAGTTGCCCACAAACTGAATATTAGCCAAGAGTGCAGCAGGACCATCAGTAAGCTAACGCAGTTGGACGCTCCACTAACGGATAAACTATTTGCCATAAAACATCACTGACTTACCCCTAGCCTGCTCTCTGTTACTGGTCAGTCTAGGATGGGTTTGCTCAGGCATTCATTCTCTCACTAACAGATCAGGCTACTTTTCTCAACCCTCTTTGCCCGTATCTGCTCACCTTAGGTCCACACTTTTCTTCTGCTTCTAAACTTCCCCTGTTAACCACTACAGAGGCCCAGGTGAAAATCCTGCCTGCTGTCATGCCCTCCCTGTCCCTTCCACTCTGCACGATGGAACCCTGCTCTGCTGAGGGAACTTCATCACCTGGCCCCTTCGCTGACACCTTCTGCACACAATTCCTTCTGCACAGAGCCTCCTCTTGCAAACTTGCCTCATTCTCATTCCGAGGAAAAGACTATATTCAAATATTAAAAGACTGTTGTGGAAGAGGGTTAGATTAATCCATGGGCAGTCTTTTCCCGAGGGCTGGGAATAGGGTGAGACAAGTGAGACACCTGGTGCAAAGTTTAGGAGGGTCCAAAATTCAGCAATCAGGATCAAAATTAATATAAAAAACCCATGATGGGCAAAATATCAAATTTTAAAGACAGAATCAGTAAACAGTGTTTACTAGAGCCATAGTGGAGCCTGAGGCAAGAAGACAACCTGGTAACACGGATTTTGTGCCCACTTGAGGCCCAGCCTGGCCTTTTCCACCCTGCATGTGGGCTGCATGTTTTGCTTCCCTTAGACGGGCCCTGATGAATACCAGTCTGACAGGCCATTTCTTCCAGTTTCTAATCATCACTTGGGTTCTACTCCCATCACAGATTTTGATCATTTACCAAAGTGACACAACTACCTTTAATTCCATCCCTCAGAAAACTGAGACAAGGGTCATTTGGCCTTGAATATTTCTTATATGAGCTTCTCCTAGTGACACCGATAATTTGTTCACATAATATGTTATCCAGCCAACTGGGCACCCATCTTGAGCAGTTTCACGTGGCTTAGATTCTTCCCTCCTGGTTTACTGATGACGTGTTAGGTGGGAGAGAAATACAGGCCTGGTTATAATGAAGTTAGGTTACAGCTAGTCTCACTAGCCTTTGGCACTGGGAACCCGGGTCAGTCAGAGAGGATGCTTTATGCTGCTCTTTTCAAAGCATTTGTAAATTTACTTAGCGATTAAAAATTGTTTTTCTATCATTTACCTTGGTATAGAATCAGACCTTACAGGTAAGATTTTCAGTACCTGAAACTCCTAATATTCCTCTATAAAACTGTTCCACTGATAATTTTAACGTCCAGGAATCAGTTCCTTGTAGTTAAGAGAGAAATGAATTTGGCATGACAGGACGAGTTTTTGATTCTAGACCTATTAATTTATTAGCTATGGTTCCTTAGGCAAATTATCCAACCTCTCCACATCCTATTTGCCTCATCTTAAAAATGGGAGGTAGTGGGGGAAGGCAGTAAAACTCTACATCTTTGTAATTATTAAGGTTATGATTGCTATTTTAGTGTAAAACACACTTGGGAAAGTTACCTGAAATTAATTACAAACTCAGGTTTCCTTCCATGTAACTAAACTCTCCTAAGAGTATACACAGCCTTCAGCCTCTTTAAGATGAAAAGATAGTATTTGCTGTTGAATTAACTCTTGTTCCATTTTACCTAGAAACTGCTGTCTTTCTGACCGCCGCTTCAGACTCAGCTTCATCAGGTCTGCGGGGACGTCGGGCAGGGCCGCCACCTCCTGGTAGGTCTCGATGGCCCTGCGCAACACCTCATTGCTCCTCCTCTTCTCAGCCAAGTCATCTTCACACTGGAGGAAGCCCCACACTGGATAAATGTCCCATGACAAGCTCCATTTGTAATCAAGCAACATATTCATGAAGAGTTAACTTTTGGACATGCTTTAAAAGTAATTCAAGACAGATTCAAATTTTCTCTTTATTAAGAGATAAAAAAATAAACAAAGGAAGCAACACAAATGCTATTTTGATAATATGAACACAAGTTAGCTACTCAACTATAGATGAGAAAGATTATCATAAAGCAAGACTCATATATGCTAAGGCTAATGGAAATTTATATCATGTTATACAAAACATTATACAGACAGGACTCCACTCCATAGTTCCTGTTCTTTTATTAGTTTATTCCTGTGTTCATTCATTCGTCCAACAACTATTTTCTGGGAGTCAGGCATTGTTCTACACATGTGGCAGACAAATTAAACAAAACAGACAAATCCGCTTTCCCATTTTGCTTCATTTTGGGAAGGAGAGAAAGTCTGGTGATCATAAGTGCTATGGATAAAAACAAAGCAAGCTTAGTGATGCTGGGAGTGGGGAGGTGGAGAGGGTGCCAGTTTAATCAGGATGATCGGGGAGGGCCCAAGAGAAGTGAGGGAGTGAGGCATGAGGATATCTGGGGGAAGAATGTTCCAAGGAGAGAGAATAGCAAGAATAAGGGCCCTGGAGGATAGTGAGGAATAGAGAAAAGACTGATACAGGAGGGGAGCAAGGAGGAGACTGATGGGGGGGGGTGTCAGCGAATGAAGAACCTAGTAAGTTATTGCCAATTCTGCCACGCTAATTCCACACGAGATGGAAAGAACCCCGGTTTTTCATTTTATTTTTTTTGAGGAAGATTAGCTCTGAGCTAACATCTGCCACCAATCCTCCTCTTTTTGCTGAGGAAGACTGGCTCTGAGTTAACATCCATGCCCATCTTCCTCTACTTTATATGTGGGATGCCTACCACAGCATGGCGTGCCAAGCAGTGCCACGTCCGCACCTGGGATCTGAACTGGCGAACCATGGACCGCCAAAGCGGAATGTGAGAACTTAACCACTGCGCCACCGGGCCGGCCCCCAAGAACTAGGGTTTTTAACATGATCTGATATCTGTCAAAAGGATCACACTGGCAGTGGTATGGAGAACAGCTTGAGGGCCTGAGGGGAGATGCAGAGAGCCCAGTTAGGATGTTCCAGCAGGAATCCGCACACGCGGTGATGATGGCTTGGACTAGGGTAGTAGTAATGGAGGTGTTAAGAAGTGGTTGGATTCTAGCTATATTTTGAAGGTCGGAGCCAATAGATTTGCAGATGGTCTGAATGTAGGGTATGAGAAAAAGGGAGAGAGAGAAGTCAATTGAAGGTTTTTGGCTTAACAATTACCAGGTGGAACTGTCATTCCCTGAGAATGGGAAGTAAGGGCAGAGGCAGATTTGCAGGCATATGGAATCAGGACTTCAGTTCTGGCCATATTAAACCCCAATGCCTATTAGGTACCCAAGTGGAGATACCGGCTAGGAAGGTGCATATATGAATCAGAGGTTCAGAGAGACTGAGAGTTAGAGATATACATTGGGGAGTTGTCAAGGATAGAGATGGTATTTAAAGCTAGGAAGCTAGAAGCAGTTGTGAGTGTAGACAGAGAAAAGAAGAGGGTCCAAGAACAGAATTCAAAGGAACTTCAATGTTTCAAGGCCATTAGAGGTCAGAAAGGGGAGAACCAGCAAAAAGGGACAGAGAAGGAGGGAGGAGAGAAGAAAAATAAAAAAAAAGTGGTGTTCTGGAGGCCAAGTGACAAAAGGTAGCAAGAGGGAGTAATCAACCATGTTAGAGGTGGCCGTCAGGTTAGGCAAGATGAGAACTGAGAGCACATCCCACTGGATCGGGCAACGTGGCCCCTCTGATGTTCCTGGCAAGATCATTTCATTGGACTACAGGGGGCCTATAATGGAACGGAGCAGATTCAAAAGAAAACAGGAGGGAAGGAGGTGCAGACAACTCTGTCAAAGAGCTTCACCGTAGAGGGAAGCAGAGAAATGGGCCAGTACGTGGAGAGGAATGTGGAGACAAGGGAGAGAGTTTTTAACAATGGGAAACCTAAAGCATGTCTCTAAGCTGATGCAAAAGACTCAGCAGAGAGGGGAAATCTGATGATGTAGAAGAGGACAAAAAATTAGAAGGATGTCCTTCAGCAGGTGAGAGGGGATGGGAAAGGGGACCAGAACCGCTCATGTGAGCCAACGGGAGGGAAGACGCAGCATATGGCAGCAGGTGTAGGGAGATTATCAGAGCAGTTGAGGGATCACGTGGAAGCTCTTTGAATACTTCTCTTTACTTAGTGAAATAAGCAAGACTCTTAGCTGGAGAATGAGAATGGGGAGTGAAATACCAGAGACAGGAAGAGAGAGGAGAATGTGCGAAATGGTCATCAAAATCTCATCAGATTTAGCAGACTACAATTTGGAGATTACCATTTGAGGAAAAATAATGCCACTTAGATGCTAAAAGTAGTATATAAGATTTTTTTCTCAGAATATCCTATTTAACATGTTTACCTTTTTCAAATAAAGTGTGTGTTGCAGTCAATATATAGATGCCTGCAGAACCAAAATAAAGCATAACTCTACAATTTGAGGACAGGGTAAGAAAATGATCCATCCCTCCCACACCCCAAAAACTACTAAGAATCAGTCCAAATTGATAAAATATCTATGGGGAGCTTTCAGAAAATAACACCTCCAAGAAATAACTCGATAATACCTACTGAATAGGTAAGTTTCTCAGGATGATGAGGGCTAGAATCAAAGCAGTGGTGATAGAGAGAAGTGGACAGATTTATGAGAAAGGAAAACTGAAAAAATCTCTAGATTTGCAAAGGCTAATTCACCCTTGCTTGACAGAAAAAAGCTTCAGAAGACACAACTATCTGTTCAAATCTGTAAATGTTCTCCAGAACAGATTTATCTACCAGAAGAGGAAGTCCAAGTCAATGACCCATACTGGTCATCCTGTCCCTATCGCCTTCTCTATATTCACATGCTGGCTTTTCTGGTTAGGCATCAGTGTCTTGTGAGTTTGGCTATGGTGAGTTAATTCCCAAGAACATGATCATTCATAGATGACTTCACAGAATGACGGAGTCCTGGAGTGGAGAGAGGCCTTTTGAACCATTTAGTTCAGCCTCTTCATTTGGTAGCCTCTTTTTTTTTTTTTTTTTAAAGGATTCTGAGATTCTTTTTTTTTTTTTTTAAAGATTTTATTTTTTCCTTTTTCTCCCCAAAGCCCCCCGGTGCATAGTTGTGTATTCTTCGTTGCGGGTTCCTCTAGTTGTGGCATGTGGGACGCTGCCTCAGCGTGGTCTGACGAGCAGTGCCATGTCCGCGCCCAGGATTCGAACCAACGAAACACCGGGCCGCCTGCAGCGGAGCGCGCGAACTTAACCACTCGGCCACGGGGCCAGCCCCCATTTGGTAGCCTCTTCAAGCTAAGAATTAGACCCTGGAACTGGAGGGTCTCTTCAAGGTTATGGCAAGGACAAATGCCCACCATGGTAATCCTTCTTTATAGAGCTAGGAATAAATATCTAACTAAACCCAACCTGAAAAGAGAGAAGGATGATACAATCTACATCCCTTGTGCCCTCCTCTCCTTCCAGCCCAAGGTCTTCCATTTTAATGAAGTATAAACATTTTATAACTTCTAGAATTGGAAAAATATCGGTATTAAAATGGCACATAATTCTTTAAAATCTCTTGAATGAAACTGATAGGGTTTGCTTTGAAAATCAAAACTGTACACATTGATTTTTATCAGCTTAGCATCTGTAGATAAAATGATTGCAGCTGAAAGTGGACATTTGCTACAGGATGTTAACATCGCACAGCCTTTTGTTGACTCAAACTAATTCACTCATTCAACCTTCCTAGGAGATATGTCATTTTCTGCCTCAGAGGCATTAATGGTTTACGTAGTTGTGTGAATTGAGTTTATAATTCAAGATTTTGTGTCTGACGTTGCGGGAACTTTGTCAAAATTGATTTTCACAATGATCCAAAGAATAAGATAGTGTCGGTGCTACTTTAGAAATGATAGATACTGTAGTTTATATTTAACTAGATGTTGCTGAATTTTTTAAATTTGTGGGATATTCCAAAGTAATTATTTAATCTGCTAACCAAGAATGAAAAAGCCATCACTTATTCCTCCCTATAAAATCCACCTTCTGGTGAATTTTTATTTTTAAAACTCTTATGAATTTAAAATTTCCTTTAAATGACCCTATTAAAATTTAATTTAGCATGCCTAAAGCTTGCTTTATGCCACATTAATATCAATAATACCTTGAAGCATAACAGTTTAGAGATAAAAAAATATTGCCTGAGGCCTAAATCTCAAATTCCTACTGTTAAACCAGGACAGAAATACAGCAATCACCATGTGCCAAAAGCACTGCATTTCCTTAGACTTTGGTACCCAAATTAACATCACATATAAAGAAAAATTCTAAGGCACAAAACATTTTGCCCTAATTAAGTTAGTATTTGCATCAGTCACTATTCTCTCCAGTTACTATGTTTTCCTTAATCAAATGACTGTCAATACTAGTGACAAAGTACATCACTTTTTGGAACAGGCATGGTCTTTTGGTAACAAGTACATTCTCCCTTGCTTACTAACAATACAATTTAGCAATTTTGGAGGATTACTGACCAAATTAATTTACAAAAATGATACAGTGGTTGTCTGCTAAACCTGTTCTGTATGATGGATAAGAGGAACTTATTTGCATTAATTTTTCACAAACTTATTAAAATTTAATTAATAATTTATTAAGTTTTTAATGGGGAGATAGGAAGAATTTGAACATCTGGATCTTGAATGGTGGCCAACTTTAGTTCAGAGCAAAACATACTTGCTTTATCTAAAGATGTGTTAGTTCCTGTGTGTCATACACAAGTGATGGCATTGACTCCCTCCCAAGGGGTGTTGTCAGTTTCTTCTTGGTCTAGGAAATTTCTGTAGCTCTGAATCTATTGTTCCCAGCAAGGCTGACCATCTCTCCCCCAAGGTGGGGCTGTAGGAGCTTGACTGCTGACAACTTTGTCAGCCCTGGCTTTTTGCCTGAGCTCCAGACTCCATAAATCCAATGGTCTACTTGACACGTTCACTTGAGTGTCTGCTAGGTATCACAAACTTAAAGGGACTAGAAGCTTCCTGATTCTGCACCTCCCCAAACCTGTTCCTCTGCCAGTCTTCCCGGTCAGTAACTAGACTCATCCTCTCCTCAGTAGGCCTCACCAAAACCCAGGAGTCCCCTGGAGTCCTCTCTTTCTCTAACCCTTCCATCTCACCCATCAGCAAGTCCTTTAAGCTCCGCCCTCTGCCCACTTCCTCACCTCCACAGCCATGACCAGCGTCTGAGCCACTGCATCTCGAGTACACTTGCAACAGCCTCCTTTGTTCTTGTTTCTACTTTTGTCCCCTAATCAATTCTCCAGCCAGCAACCAAAGCAATCTTTATAAAAAACAAACAGACAGTCACGCCCATGCCTAACCCTCCACCGGCTTCCTACAGCCTGGAGAATATAACCTGTGAGGCCATGGCCTCACTTGTCCCACTTCACCCTCCCTTGCATGCCCTTCTTTCTGTCCCCGAGCTTATCATGCCACGACTGTCTCCCTGCATCACGGCCTTTGCCCCTGTTGTTACCTCTGCCTGGACAGCTCCTTCCACAACCTTGTCACCCCTAGAGAGGCCTCTCCTGGTCACCTTATCTAAAACATTGTCTGCTGTGCGCTCTCCATCACGTTACCTGCAGCCAAAAATCTTACTGCGATGCTCTTTATTCCATCACTTTCTTTCTTTATGGCAAACACTATTACATAAGATGATCTCATATAGTTAACACTTTATAATATTCTTTAAATATATATTTATTTATAAAGATATATATTTATATTACATTTATATTATTATTACATTTGTTTATATTATAAATATACATTTATTTATAAAGACGTTCAGGGCTTTACTCAAATGTTACCACGTTGGTGAGGCCTCTCCCTGCCACCTCATCCAACATCTCACTCCCTCACCCGTCCTGTGGCTGCACTCTGCTTTGCCTTTGTTCTCCTGAGCACTCATCACTACAAGCATGTATATTTTACTTCTTTGTCTCACGTGTTGCCTTCGCCATTACAATGAAAATTCCACGTTTTGTAAATGGCTGCATCTGCAGCGCCTAGAACAGAGCCTGGCATACAGTGGCTTTCCATCAAACAATTTTTGAGTGAGTAACTTTACAATACCTTCCACTGTAATATAAGATCCACAAGGACAGAGACCTCAAGAGTGCTCATCAGGATAATCCCGGGGCCTAAAACACTATGTGGCACACGGTGGGTTTACGCAGCCATCAATGAATGTGGAAAAGCTTCATGAAATGAGGAGCCGGAAGATGGAGGAAGGCAGATAAGAAAGGAGATGGTGGGAGTGGGAGACGGGGAGAAGGTAGCTGGTAAGAAATAAGTCAGTCGAATGAAACTATAGAGAAAACAAAGTACATTCCACTTTATATTTTTAAAAAGTCTTTCCAAAGCATACTTGCAACCTCTAGTTATAAAGCTGAGGTTCTTAAAGCACTGAGAAGCCTAAAGTGAAAACTACGTAACGGGTCTAACTGGACTGAGACGTGAGGGTGATGGGAAACCAATGAGAAAAGCATCATTTCTTATTTTGTTTCTAAAACTAGAGAGAAGGTATATGGAGGGGGAGCAGAAAAATGTTACTGAGTTCACCAGTACACAATAGCAATAATTAATTTTCTTATTTAAAACAGTATTTCTTGCTTGAGTTTATGCAAATGCATGATAAATTGATTCTGTTTATAAGTTAGAAAGGAAAAAGAAAACGCAAATTGTGGGCGGTGAAAAATCCAATTACACAGAACATAAAGACATCACAAACAGTTTCCTAAGCAGAAGGGGTTTAGAATACCTGTGCCTTCCCGTATCTTGCCCGTGGACTCTGCGGGTATTTGCGAACTAGTTCTTCAAATGCATTCACTGCTTCCTCAATTTTTCCCTGTTAGGAAGAGGCATTCACATAAATACAACAAATTCGAATGTATAATGTTATTTAACATGGTTGTTTAATATTCACCAAGTAATTTTGTCAAAATTTCCTGGACTCCATTCTGAATTTAAAGACAATTTTAACTAAGATTTTAAAAAAATTAACTGTATTATGCCAAATATAAAACTAGAAATGAACATAAATATACTTTAGTTTTGAAAAGACAGAACCTGACAAATGGTATAGTATGAGACTTTGTTACAGAAACTGTATTTTCCCTCTATATGTACAGTTCCTTCATGCATTCTTAAAGAAAATATTCAGGTTTTAAGTTGGGGAAAAATACTGCTGGCAGCCAGAATGTCTTGGGGTCTGCAGTGAGAAGTCTGAAGCACCTGTTAAAACAGTAGGGAACGAACACGCAGGATGAGAGGGCCACCTGGCCATGATACCTGTCACCCTCTGAACCTGAGTTGATTTGACTAATCTAGTTGATGGGAGCCTCACTGCCTCTGTGTCATGTGACTCCTCGCAAAGCTCATATGGGCCCTTGAGAAGATGGGCCGAGTACCTTTGATAGGTCTTTGACCTCCACTGCATGAAAAGAAATAGAGGACACACAACAGGTAAGCTTGGTGAGGGTCTTGGCATGTGGGTGAGGAAACCTCTCCTCACCTCACTCCATCCAGCGCCATTCCACAGGGTGAAACAAATGCCTCCTGATTTCTATGGATGGCGGCAGGTCAAGGATATTGGGAACAATGGGATAGAGACAGATTTTCTGAGTTGAACTTTCCCAGACACTTCAGCTCCCCATAAATTGGTAAATCCATTCCTTCTACATGTAAATGCAAGCTCGCTGTGGTTTATATGTTTTGACCTTCACTGAGTGAGTTTTCATACAACAAAGTTTACCTCACAAATGTGGCCATGCAAAGCAAACAGTACAGCAGTACCCAAGTGTTATTTACACCTACTTCTGAAAGACTTGACTAAACAGAGAGGAGTCAGGCAGTATCCATATGAAAGTTCCTTGTAATCATTCCTATAGGTGCCCTCTCACATGCCCATAAGTGGTGCTGAGGGGCTGGTGGAAAATATATGCAGTATGCAGTGGTTACGAGTGCAGGCTCTGGAGCCATGGACTGGTCAGAGTCTGGGCTCTGCCACTTGGGAGGTATAGGACTTCTGGCAAGTTACTTAGGACTCTGCCTTAGGTGCCTTATCTATAAAATGCGGATAATGAGGGTACTTGACTACCTTATGGGGTTGCTGTGAAGGTTAAATCTGGTAATATACATACAGTGCTTGTAGACACAGAAAGCACAGAAAGCATCGAACAATGTTAGCTATTATTATTATTATTATTATTGTGGTGTGTGTATGGGATGTGTGTGCCAGCACAAGATAATGGCACCCATCCCAGATAAGTCTCTTATCCAACAGACAGGCAGTTTAATGCAAAAAGAACGGGGACTTGAATTGTGCCAGGAACACATTCTCTAAGTTATATTTATTGTCAGAAATAACTATATTGCTATTTAAAACATGCTGTCCCTCTCATAATGTTACGTTTTTAAAGACTTTATTGTTTTAGAACAGTTTTAGGTTCACAGAAAAATTGAGAGGAAAGTATAGTGATTTCCCATACTCCTCCTACTCCCACGGACGCACAGCCTCTCCTATAATCAACATCCTGCACCATGGTGGTACATTTGTTATAACTGATGAACCTCCACTGACACATCGTTATCACCCAAAGTCTGTAGTTTATCTGAGAGTTCACTCTTGGTGGTGTACATTCCATGGGTTTTGACAGATGTGTACTGACTGCACCACTGACTGTTATAATATCATACAGAGTAGTTTCACTGCCCTAAAAATCCTCTGTACTATGCCTAGTCATCTCTCCCCGAACCCTACACTCCTTGGCAACCACTGATCTTTTCACTGTCTCCATAGTTTTGCTTTTTCCAGAATGTCATACAGTTGGAATCATATAGTAAGTAGCCTTTTCAGATTGGCTTCTTTTCAGGTAATATGCACTTAAGGTTCCTCCATGTCTTTTCATGGCTTGAGAGCTCATTTCTTTATGGTCCTGAATAACATTTCATTGTCTACATGAATTAGTTTATTATCCACTCACCTACTGAAGGACACCTTGGTTGCTTCCAAGTTTTGGCAATAAAGAATAAAGCTACTATAAACATTCATGCGCAGGTTTTTGTGTGCACATGAATTTTTAACTCCTTTGGGTAAATACCACGGAGCAGGATTTCTGGATTGTATTGTAAGTGTATGTTTAGTTTTGTAAGAAACCACCAAACTATCTTCCAAAGTGGCTGGACTATTTTGCCTTCCCACCACCAATGTGTGAGTTCCTGTTACTCTATATCCTTGTCAGCATTTAGTGTTATCAGTGATCCAGATTTTGGCCATTCAAACAGGTATACAGTGGCACCTCATTGTTGTTTTAATCGCATTTCCCTGATAAAAAATGATGTGAGCATCTTTTCATATGCTTATTTGCCATCTGTATATCTTCTTTGGTGAGGTTGCTGTTAAGGTCTTTGACTCATTTTTTAATCAAGTTGCTTGCTTTCTTATTGTTGAATTTTAAGAGTTCTTCGTATACTTTGGATAACAGTTTGTTTTTAAAACCACTATTATATTTCTCCTGCTAAGGATTTTAAGGGATGAAGATTTCATGTTACATATTCTTCTGTGTGACTTTCTTCTAACTACTCTGTTTTAGTTTCCTGTGGCTGCCATAACAACTCAACACAAACTTGGTGGCTTAAAGCCACTGAAATGAATTCTTTTGCTGTTCTGGAGATCACAAGTCCACAGTCAGTTGCACTGGGCTGAAACCAAGGTGTCAGCAGGGCTGCCTTTCCTCTGCAGGCTTTAGGGGAGGATCTCTTCCCTGGTTCTTCCAGCTTCTGATGGCTATTAGCATTCCTTGGCTTGTGGCTGCATCACTCTAATCTCTGCCTCCAACTTCACCTCACCTTCCCCCCTGTGTGTATGTTTCTTCTCTTCTGTCTGTATAAAATCTCCATCTGCCTCTTTCTTACAAGGACACATTTGGGGCCTATGATGGTTAATTTTTGTGTCAAACTCAACTGGGTTACGGGATGCCCAGATGGTTGTTAAAACATTATTTCTAGGTATGTCCCTGAGGATGTCTCCAGAAGACAGTAGCATTTGAATCAGGAGACCAAATAAACAAGATCATCCTCAACACTGTGAGGGGGCATCATCCAATCCAGAGAGGCCCTGAATAGGACAAAAAGGAGGAGGAAAGGAAAACAGCCCCTCTTTGCTTGAGTTGAAACATCCATCTTCTCCTGCCCCCAGACATCAGCACTCCTGGTTCTCAGACTTCCAGACGCAGACAGAGACTTACACCATTGGCCCCAATTCTCAGGTCTGCAGACTCAAACTGAATGACACCACCAGCTTTTCCGGTTCCCCAGCTTGCAGATAGCAGAATGTGGGACTTTTTGGCTTCTATAACCATGTGAGTGAATTACTATAATAAATGTCTTTTAAATATCCTATTTGTTCTGTTTCTCTGGAAAACCTGACTATCACAGGGCCTACCAGGATAATCCAGGAAACTATGTCCTGCATAAGATCCTTCTCTTAATCACATCTGCAAAAGCTCTTTTCCCAAATAAGGTAAAGTTAACAGGTCCCGGGATTAGAACATGGATATCTTCTGGGGAAGCCATTTTCTAGCCTACCAGAGTCTGCCTTCTGCCCCCAATGATTCACATCTGTCTCACATGCAAAATACATTCACCCACTGTAACATTCCCCAAAGTCTGGACACATTACATCATCAGCTCAAGTTTAAAATCTCATCTAAATCTCATCAGCTCCAAAGTGGCAAATCTCGTCATCTAATTCAATTCATCTAAATCACCAATGGATTAGACTTTGGTTATAATCCATTCTGGAGTAAAATTCCTCTCCCTCTATGGACTTGTAAAACTAGAAAACAAGTTATCTGCTTCTAAAACACAATGGTGAAATAAGCATAGGATAACATTCATAGACATCTCTATTCCAAAAGGGAGAAAATGGAAGGAAGAAAGGAGTCACTGATTCCAAGCAATTTCAAAATGAACCCGGGCAAATTCCATTAGGTTTTAAGGTCTGTGCCCCGAGGCTCTGCCCTCTGGGTCACAGGCTCTGGCTATTGTGTCCTTGTCTCTGGATTCTGGGTCCAAGGCTCTGCACTTGGAGTTGTCTTTTGTTTCTATTGAAAGGATAGTGTGGGTTTTCAGTTGATTAGTTTTATCAGCCTGTAGAATTTTGGGAGTCTGTCAGCCTTTTTTCAGTTTGTCCTCTGTCTCTTTCAGTCCAAGGTGGCAGCAATTCTGCTGGTATAATATTCTCAAAAACTTTGTGGGCCTCTTGTGTATTTCACAGGGATTCACACCGTTAGACAAGAGTCATGTCCACAGACCCTTCCAGGATAATCTCATCTCTATTCCTGGCTTCTGATGAGATGGTTGAATGGAACTAAGAGTCACAGAATCTTTTCAGGAAAAGGATGTCCAGCCCCGTCCTTGGCCTCTCTCCAAAGTACACTTCCCTAACAGTGAATTTCCTAATTTTAGCATCTTTTGCAAACTGGATAGGCTAAGAAATTCCCAAATAATCATGTTCTGGTCTTTTTTTTTCCTTTACCATTCCTTCCTTATCTCTTTCCCCTCATATTTTACTATAAGCAGCAAAAAGAAACCAGGAAACACTTTCATCAAATTGCTTGGAAATCTCCCCGCTGAATATCCAAGTTCATCACTTACAAGTTTTTTTTCCACACGACTGTAAGATACAATTCAGGTAAGTTTTCTGATACTTGCAACAAGGACTGCCTTTCCTCCAGTCTTTAGTAACATGTTCTTCCTTCTGGGCCCTTGCCAGAAGTGCCTTTAATGTCTATATCTCTATCAACATTCCGTTCATAATGACATACGTATTCTCTAAGATGACAGAAGCTTTCTCTACTGTGCTGCTCACTTCCCCTGAGTCCTCACCAGAAGCAGATTTAATGTCCATGTTTCTACCAACAGTCTGCTTAAGGCAATCCAGGCTTTTGCTACCATGCACCTCAAAATTCTTCCAGGCTCTACTCCTTACCCAATTCCAAAGTCTTTCTGAATTTTTCCATATTTGCTAGAGCAGCACCCCACTGCCCAGTACCAAAATCTGCGTTAGTTTCCTATGACTGCTGTAACAAATTACCACAAACTCGGTGGCTTAAACCAACAGAAATCTAGTCTTTCACAGCTCTGGAGAACAAAGTCCGAAATCAGTTTCACCGGGCTGAAATCAAGACGTCAGCAGAGCTGTGCTGCCTCCAGTGGCTCTAGGGGCAAATCCTGTTTCTTGCCTCCTGACAGCATTTTTTGACTTGTGGATGCATCACTTCAATCTCCAATTCTATACACACATATTGCCTTCTCCTCTCCGTGTGTGCTTTCTCCTATTTTGTCTGTATCAAATTTCCCTTTGTCTCACTCTTCCAAGGAAACACGTTTTTCCATTTAGGGCCCAACTGGATAACCGAGGACAGTCTCACCGTCTCAAGATCTTTAACTTAATCATATCTGCAAAGACCCTTTCTCCAAATACCATAACATTTACAGGCATTAGGACATGGATATTTGGCGGGGTTGGGGGAGGGACCATTTTCAGCCTACCACATGCCTTACGCAACTTAAATTGCAAATGTTGAGGCTATTTTTGTGAAAATTATGCTAAATGCACCATTACCAGATTTAAAACACAGGAATGGCAGAGTTCATAACAAAATGCCTAAAGTATTTTGTTCCTGCTTGAGACTCCCTACTTAGTTGGCCATCAAGGCTATCAACATCAGGAATACTTTGGCTCCGTCTTAGGCATCCTTTGGATCCCCTTAAGACAGAGGCTGTGTGTCCTTCCTAAGGGACTGTCAGCCCTGTTCTCCCCTCAGCTGTCTGGCAATGTGAATGTGTTTGCCTTTAGTCTGGAAGAATTTCCCCTTCCCAGGTTATTACTAGAGAATATAGTCCCTAACACCATTGTGCAATTCTTATTAAAAAAACTCAACTGCAAGATGCAACGCTGGTGAAGAACTGCCTGAAAATCACTTGCTCTTCCACGTAGCTTATATTTTGTTCTAGGACCAAGACAGTTCACTGGACAGACATGGGCTTGGGCCCACTGCTTTGGCATGAGGCCAGTGGCTGCACTGAAGGACATTAGGACACAGCCCTGCAGAGGTATTGCAGAATCTGCTGGTGTGACATTAGGGAGGAGGTTCCGCAGTCCATCAGAGTACCCTTTATGAAGACCTACAGTGGGACGTTTCTCTCTGGACTTGGTGCAGAACAGCTATTCTCTTGGACACTATTCACCCTACAGTGACACGCTGCTCCCCTGGTGCTGCCTACAGGTTACTTCATGCCTAGCTCCGTTCAGAGTCTGCGTGGTGTGAACCTTCCTGTGCCGACATTACTCTGGCTTTATTAAATTTTCCTTCCTCTCTTTTTTCACTTATAATAAAATAATAATAAATGATTCCAACAAATAAATGAACATTTCAGTATAAAATTTCAAATCCTTTTTCTGAGGGTAAGAAAGAGTTTTAAACGATAAACATTATTTTTTAAAAATAGATGATTGAAATGTGATCTGATCTATATACTTTTGAAGGAAAAATAAAGCGGCCTCAGACTTTCACATAGCATAGTACTTGAAGCTAGGATGTGAACCTAGTCTGCACCTCCTCTGCCAAAGGTGTGCCTCAGCATGGGCCTCAGCTACTCCAGTGCATCCGCTGCATCACTTGAAAATGCCAGCTATAAAAAAACCCTAAAAGACTTAATTATGCTGACGATTCCCGGAATAATTCACTTCCCTGTTGTTTCAGAAGCAAGAATTGCCTTTGTGGCCACTTCTTCCTCCATTATTTACCCTGTTATAGATTCAGGGTGCTCTCTGAGGAAAGCATCATAATTTCTCCAAATAAGCAAGAATCAGAGAATACCCCATGGATTGTTCTAGCACTTTTATGTCCCACTGACTTATGTGCCCCTTGATAACTGAGCCCTTCTTTACTATTCATTATAAAATTACATAAAAATTCTATTGTAAAGCTGTTCATTTGTTCTTTATCCCAAAAGTCGCCTGTGAAATAGGCATCCCATACTTTCATATATGGCATTTAGTACTGAGAAAGTGGAGAAGGCCAAACAGGTGATAGAAAAAGAAATCCCGGCTTCGTCTCTATTAAGAAATGCAAATTTCCTACATTAGTAGATGGCTTCATTTTATAAAGCTAAACAAGGCAGACTCAGAAATCATTCCATATGGTTAATTTAGTGAACAACGACTTTGCTGCAATATTCTTTGGGGTTATTACATTTTTATTGGCTGGTAAAGAGCATAAGCCAACTTTGGCTTGGGAACCTGGTCTAATGATAGTTACAGAAGCCTTCATGCTCGCTGGGACATTTCCAATAAATGTGTGGGAAGCACATTCCTGTCCCACTTCAGTTCCTAACGTGGGTGTTCTTACTGTTTTTGCTGATTTACTTACAGTCCCCTCGTCCCTTTCTTTGCAGCCAATGTCTACTGAAAAAAAGCGTCTTACAGGAAAACTAATGAGCACTACACCAAGTATAAATTCAAGGACAGAGTAGAGAAGAAGAAATTTCCAGGAAAAACAAATAGACGACTGAGTGACGATGTCATTAAATACAGTATCATAAGTATTTGGCCCGAAAATTAGAGGGATATGACTGAATTAAGAGAACAAATAACTTTAATTCAGTGTCAATTCACTGTTTTCAAAAACTGTAATATCTAGAAACAAATGACAATATTACTAATGACAAAGCAAAACATAAAACAGTTACTCTGAAAACTGGAGGTGCATGAGGTTAACCCAAGTGAGAAGAATGTTAAACCTAACATCATTTCACCTAACATTAAATATCCTAAGAGTATTGGACTAACTTGTGTTTTCTTTTTGCATCGAGGTGCAATAAAATTAAAACCTCCATTTGCATGGTACTTAACAGTGTTGATGTTTTTTTAAAAGTCTCATTTGATCTCTACAAAAACCAAGAAGGAAGCAGGAAGAGTACTTATTAGCCTCATTTTTCCTTTTTTTTTTTCTGTTTTTGAGGAAGATCAGCCCTGAGCTAACTGCTGCCAATCCTCCTCTTTTTGCTGAGGAAGCCTGGCCCTGAGCTAACATCCGTGCCCATCTTCCTCTACTTTACATGTGGGACGCCTACCACAGCATGGCTTGCCAAGCGGTGCCATGTCCGCAGCCGGGATCCAAACCAGCAAACCCCAGGCCGCCGAAGCAGAACGTGTGTATTTAACCGCTGCACCACTGGGCTAGCCCTCTTTCTCTCATTTTTTAAATAACAATACTGAGGCTCAGACTGGCCAAGTGATTTGTCCAAAGCCACACAACTAGAATGTGATGGAAGTGGGCTGACTCCCAAGTCAGCTGGCCTGAAGGTAACTTCTATTTCCATTTGGCCATTACAGCTGCAATTCTTTTCATTTGATTCATTTCTCGTGGAATGCTGATGTGCCTGGGGAAAAACCCACTCCATTCAAAGGTTGTTTCTCTCACATTTTTTTTTTCAACAAATCAAGAGTAACGCCTGAGTTTAATTAACAACTAAACCATTGCACATTTTCTGCGCAAAACAAAAATATCAACCTACCCTTTTACGGAGTTTTTCTGCAGCATCAAGTTCAGCTTTAATAGTCTTATCAAATTTATTTAATAGTTTAGGCTTCTTTTTCTTAACTGAAAGAAAAAAGAGGTTTTTATTTTTTTATTGAGAAACAGCTATTAAGAATAGTCATTTATGAGTAGTGAGAAACCTAGCGTTGGTCCCAAACCTCTAACTACAGGAGCCAGCACACTCCCAGCTCACCTTCCCACCTCCTAACCCACATCCACTATGACACAGTCAGTAACTGCCAAGCCACAGGGAGACAGTGCAGCCCTCACTTATCCCCAAAAGTGTTCTTGGGAAACTGGATGGATGCTGGTATCCTGAAACTCTCAGAGATACTGGCCCAGTTTCTGGAGTGAAAATGGTAGGTACGATTCTAAACTCTTATGATCCACTTCTCGGCTAAGTCCAAAAGACTGCTTAAAATAGTTTTTGCATATATCTACAATGTTTCTAATCAGATAAAGATAAAAATGGGAAGCTACTCTCAAAAAAGTCAAGTAAACAGAATTTCTTAGCATAGCACTCAAGCCTCTTCCTTTGAATCCTGGACCTGCCATTCCAGCTGTATTCCATACTTCAGCCAAACTGGATTTCCCCATGTTCCCCAAATAAGCTTTGTGCCATTTCTGATGCTACTTTCTCCAAACAAAATGGCCTATTCCTTATCTTTGTCAGTTGAAAATATGCCCATCCTTCAACAACTAGCTCAAAACCACACTCCTTATAAAGTCTCCCCACATATCACTCACTCAAGTGCTCCGTTTTCCCTCTTCCTCTTCCCCCCCTAACCCCCCACCTGAACTGAAGTCCACAGCACCCTGCATATTTCTCTTTTATGGTCTAGTCCTTCTTCCATATGACTTTTACCATAATCTTTTGTGCACTTATTTTACTCCCTTTCCAAACCATAAGCTCCTGCAGAGTGGCAGCATGCCTTAGACGCCAACTGACTTGATTCATGCTTATTTAGCATGAAGTCACAGCCAGCAGGTGAGAGGGCGGGTCCTGCTGGTAGACACCCAGCGAAGCCTGTGGAGTGGATGGATATCAAGCGTTCCCTGGAAGCCCAGAGTAAATAATCCCATCTGAGGACCCAAGAGAGCGACAAGGGCAGGCCCTGGAAGGGTAAGTCAGATGTTCCTGATAGAGAAGAGGACTGGTGGTGGACAGGGGGAGGAGTAGGGGGGACAAGAGAAATGAGCACAGTCAGGAGAGAACTTTCTCAATGTTCTGACATTAAACCTACACATTCAGTTACTTTTGCTCTATCCTGTCATGAGCGAAGGAAGAGGGTCTCTCCTTCCCAAGGTTAACCCCCTCCACACGCACACCTGCCCTTTGCCTTCTGCCTCTCCTCTGAACGTCTCCTCATTCTCTTTCTGGCTTTCAGCCCCTATTGGCATTTAATACAGCTGACGTCTCTGTGTCTTAAAGCTGATCAACCAACCAACTAAGACCAACCAACTAACTAAGACCAAACTCAGCCTGCCCTCCTCCACTTGCCATCCTCTCTTCCCCTCCCCTCAGCCTGGCTCTCTCTCGACCCACGGAGCCCTGCCTCCCTCACCCCACATATGGGCTAAAGCAAGTGTTCTGAAGGAAGGGGAGCTCAGTGGTTAAGAGTCACAGCAAGGTCTGAGTCCCAGCTCTGTCATGTCCAGGATCTGTGACCAAAGCTGGTACTAAACTTTTCTGACTCCCACTTCCCTAATCTATTAAATGAATGTACTGTTTTTGAGAACTAAATCGATATCGTATGTGGGCAAACAGCACAGTGCCTGGCATATACTAACTGGTCTGTACCTGAGAGCTAATAATGCCTATGGCCTCCTCTGCAGGGCCTTTTCTTCCTATCCTCCCTGCCCCCTTTGCAGCAGCTGACACAGCTCACTCCTCCCTGAAATGCTCCTCTCCTTGACTTCCGCATGGCCATCTTTCCCGGTTTTCCTCCTTATTCTCTGGCCTCTCCATTTCCTCCCCATCTCCTCTGTGGCTCCTGTCCTCTGCTGATCCCTGAGATGTTGTGCTCCTTAGTGCCAGTCTTCAGCCCTCTAAAGAGCTTTAACTGTTAATTTTCCAACTGAGCTACAAATTAACTAGTTAATTTTCCATGTGTTACAAAAATCATAAATCTAAAGTGCCTACAATTTATGGCACAGATACCTCAAGCTCAGTAGATGAGATACGTAATTCACTATTGCTCACAGATCTATTCTTTCTCATATTTACCCTATTTTAGAAGATGGAGCCATACTCATCTGGTTGTGCAAATCACAAACTCCGTTGGAAAAGGCCAGTAAAACAGGGCAAAGAAAGAACATGTGGAATTATGCAAATGAAGACCGAGCAGAATCGCTACTATTTTTTTAGCGCTCACTCTGTGCCAGTCTCCTTCTAGTCTCTCAACCTCCTGGATACAGGGAATTTAACCTCACAGATGTGGTGATGAGGTTCCAAAAAGGTCAGTCTCTTGACAAGTCCCCTCTCTTGTCCACACAGGAGGAAGGGGGCACTTATTTCCCACTCATACGGTTTCCAAAAGGAGTGAAGTTTCCTAGAAACCCTTAGCCTCTTGCCTCTCCCCACAGGGGAGGTGGTGTGACTTCTCTGATTACTGAGTTAGGGGAAGGGACAAGGTGCTGTAGCTCACTTGCACTCCTTTTCTTCCTCCGAAGAGCATGCATCCTGCGCTGAGCTGATCACACATCCTACAGGGAGGGGTTGCACTTGGGGGACCCAGGGCTGTTCCCCGCCACCTAGCGTGGGTGGGAATATCTAATTCTGGAGTTCAGTATTAAGACACCTATTCTTCCTGCTCATCCAAGCCTCACCCTTCAATGCAGCTCTATCAGTAAGCACGTGGGTCCTTTAATCACCTTTCCTTTATTTCATTCCTTGTGCCTCTTTGTTAATTGCTATGCTCCTTTATTTGTTTATTCCACCTTCCTCTTCTCCCCTCTCCAAACCCTCAGGCCCTCTTTGCTTGAAAGAAATAAATGTCTAAAGCAGAGAGTGAAAAAAATTGTAATGGGCATTTTCAACTGTGTGTCATCACGTGTTAGCAGACATGCTGAGGATACGGAAAATGAATTGACATTTGACTGAGTTGTTGATTTACAGTGGTGGGAGCTAGTGTCTTGTCATCTCAGCACTGACTTATGCCTCTCAATTGCTCATTTTGATTTTGGGGAAGTGTCTGTCAGCAGATTGCCAGTGGGACCAGGCAAGCCTGCAGTGTCCTGAGTAGAGGGTTTTACTGCTGGCATCATCAGTTTCCGCAAACATGTCTCCCATGTTATACAGTTAAAGTTAACATGAGATTTATTTAGAAGAAAAAGAAACTATTGGCAGTTCAAGACGTCCACAATAGTCAACAGTAAAATAATGTTGGTTAAACAGCCATACTGTATGTGTCTTAGTGTCAAAATATTTCAATATCATTATGAAAAAGAGACAAAATATTTAAAATCTCATAGCATCCATTACCAAGAAATTACTTGGTTCCATCTTTCACATATCTTCTATTTAATAGCTCCCAACTATTGCTGCTCTCTTTGAAATTCAAGTTTTGTTCTATCATGCCTATTTTTATTTTTAAGTGTAGAAAAAATGTGAAGCAATTTTCCCAATTGTTAGAAAAACAGATCTCTTCCTTCCTGTTCTGGGAGGCACATTGCCTAGCTGCAGAAACAGTGGGCTAATGACTGGACCAGGTTGAATGCTCTCAGGCTCCTTTGGGCCTCAGTTTTTTCAACTACACATGAGTGACATAGGCTGGTTCTCTTAAGGTCTCTTTGAACGCGAAAATCCTGTGCTTCTAATTTTCAGTTGACCTAAATCATGTTAATAATCTTTCAAGGCAAACCTAGAAGGTACTGGAATGAATTGTTAATTTTGTTGAATATGGATTTTTAATAATGGTTTAGGAGGAAGCTGCCTATGCTATATTAAACTTTGTATATATTTTGTAATCACTGCCATTACAAGTATTTTACCCTTTGCCAAAACCACAAAGAAGGAAGAAAAGCGACCAGGTATATTTCAAACCCTTAGTTCTCTTGCTATGCCACGGTTGAAACATTAAGAGCAAATAAAATGGGAAAAAAGGAAAATAAAAGAATAATTAATGGCATAAGAAAAGCACTAATGATGCACACTTAGATTATATAAAAATAAATGTTGACTCTCTTTCATTTCCACTTAGTCCATCGAAGATGTTTTTATATTATGCCTTATGGGGAAAAGTTGGACACCAATACAAATAGACACAAAATTTTTGCATCACTCTATGCTCTAGACCCATTCCATTGACAAGTGACAAAAACGGCAGTGTCTGCCACAAGGTAGGAAGGAAAGCACCAATCTCCTAATCAGTCTCCCCACTTCCCGTCTGTCCCCATGCTCTAGACTGTCCTGAGGCTCTTTCTGAAACACCATCTGTCCATGTCTCCCACTGCTTAAAATACACCCATGGATCCCCCCGGCATACAAAATAAAAACTAAATTCCTTAGAATGCCATCCTATCAATCTTGCTCCTAGTTATCTACCCAAGAGAAATGAAAACAGACAACCACACAAAGATTTGTATGTGCATATTCACTATAGCACTGATCACAACAGCCAAAAAGTAGAAAAAACCCTAACGCCCATCACCTGGTGAATGGACCCACAATTTGTGGTACAGCAATACAATGGAGCACTACTCAGCCATAGTACAAAGAATGCAACAACACAGATACCTCTCAAATGCATTATGTTAAGTGAAAGAGGCCAAATTCAAAAGGCTACTGACTGGATGGTTCCCTTTATGTGGCATTTTGGAAAAAGAAAAACTGTAGGGAAAGGAAACAGATAAGTGGTTCCAGAGGATGGGGTAGGGAAAGGGATTGACTACAAAGGGTACAGGAGAATTTTGGGGTTACAAAGTTCTATATATTTATTGTGGTGAATAAACTGTATCTAGATGTCTTTGCATACGTCAAAAGTAACAACTGCATACTACAAAAGGTGAATTTCATCATATGTAAATTATACTTCAATATCTGAATTAACAAAGTCATAAGG